CAGATTTATTAGGGTGGCCTTCACTGCCAATTTCACTAGAGGAAAGTCTAGGAGGCTAAGATAAGAATCAACAGTAGCAGACACACAGATCATTTATCTGATTACAAATCTTTCCTCATGAGAAAGGAATCTTCAACTCAGTAAATCATTGTGCAAGGCGCAAGGTCTGTTGGTAGAGCTGTTCTCCCTTCAGTTCACGAAAATCAAAATTAAGATCTCCAGCATTATGGAAGAAGCAGAAGCAGAAGACAGATCTAGGACAACTTGCCATAGCCAACTCACCATGGGGCAACTCATTGTGGGACAAGCATTGCACAATATAAAAAAATAGTGCACTAGAATCATTGAAAAAAGAATGCCAAAGGAGAGAGAAAATAAAATGTGAATGAGAAAAAATAAAATACTTTTTTTAAGCATTTTAAATAATTAAATTGAATTGTTTAATTGTCCAGCACTGAGTTGTCCTTTGATGAGTTGGCCATGGCGAGTTGACCTTGATGAGTTGGCTGCTGAGAGTTTTCTCCCATTCCAGAAGAAGACCTGGGCACATGATTAAGAATAAGGGTCTCCAACCTTGTCAACTTTAAGACTTGTGGACTTCAACTCCCAGAATTCCTCAGCCAGCTCAACTCAATTCTGGGAATTGAAGTCCACAAGTCTTAAAGTTGACAAGGTTGGAGACCCCTGATTAAGAAGACATGGGCACATGATTAAGCCAGGGCAATTTAATTTATTCATTGTATGGGGCCACATATTTGGACGATGTGATCCACTATTCCTGTCAAAGCTGGCAAAGAAAAAAGACCTTGGCTATGCCTACTTTGGCTTGTTGTCCTGAGTGCTCCTTTTGTCTTTATGACATGTCCAATTTTTTCACCCATCTTCACCAGCTATGCTTATCCTTTCCCCAAAACGTTCTGGTTCTGGTCTTCCTCGCAAGGCAGAATCTACTGAAAGTCTTTGGCCTTCATCAAATTATCAGCAATTTCATCCAGCCTTCCTTGCATGAAATGTTAGGCTGTCACCCATTACGCAAAGGATGGGTGCAAAGAATGAGACAGGAGGCTGAAATTATAGTGGTAGAACATTAACAGCAAAGAGAACATCCATTCTGCCATTATTACAGGTTTATGGACCTGGAAAAAGCTTTTCTCTACTAATGCTAAACAAGAGCAGGTCCCAAATTATTTTTTATGAGTTCCACAGGGGCAATTAAAATTCCTATAGATGCATCACATTCTTGGCCTATCTATCTCCTTCCCTTCGCACCCTCCGTAGAAACAATATTTCTACCCAACCTTAACAACCGCGTGGATTTGCAAAAGGACAGTGGTGGAATTTACACACCATGCTATAAGCCACAATTAAATAAATCTTAGCTTCGTAGGATATGTCAACCCCAGCTATAGCATTCTGGTCACTAGCTGATATCAGCCAATAAATCTAGGCCAGTGAAAATTCCATCTCTTCGAACATGTTCTGACCTTCCACAATACATCAGTGGATTTTTTTTTTTGGCGCCCAGTCAAGCTAAAGAATTAATCATACACAAGGCTTAAGTGTCAGCATTACAGATGACCCCAGGAATGGTCTAACACCCCCCACCATTAAAATTCTTTATTTCCCCCATGAACCTTTCTTAGCCAATATAAAATATTTATTCCACATACACTATGGCTGCCCTCTCTGAAAGACCCTTCTCCTTCACTATCTCGGTCCACTGGGGTAAAAATAACTTAGCCGTGCTATCAAGCTGAGTTTAAGCAAGACCACACGATAGCTATTAAACATGCCAATCAAAGTTCCTGGTTTTGCACAATCGGCATTTTGCACATACTTCCCCTCTATCGAAAACAGCACATCGGGTTAAACATTAACCATCGTTCTAAAATCTGCATGCCGCCCCCAACCAAACTCAGTTAAATGGGAGACCTCCGGATTGCCTGGACTTATCTATAGAGCCTTGCTGTTATCTTGACTCGTTTCCTCATTTCACATTTCTACCTACAAACAAACCCCAACAACGAGGTAGCCCTGCCCCCAGTCAATTCCAACTACAGGTAGTCCTTGGTGGATGACCACAAGGGAGCCCAACATTTATGCTGCTAAATGAGACATTTTATTAAAGGAGCTTTGCTCCATTTGAAAAACCTTTCTTGCCACAGTTGTTCGACGAATCGCTGTGGTTGTTAAGTAACACGCAGTGGTGAATTTCAATTTTTTTTACTACCAGTTCTGTGGGCGTGGCTTGGTAGGCGTGGCAGGGGAAGGATATATTGCAAAATCCCCATTCCCTCCCCACCCCACTAACCTGCTTTCCAGCTCCGTTCTCCTGTGCAGGGCAACAACAGAAAACCCAGCTGATCAGCTGGGACTCAATGGGAGGCAGAGAAGAGGGGGGGGCGGGGCCAGTCAGAGGTGGGATTTACCAGTTCTCCAAACTACTCAAAATTTCCGCTACCGGTTCTCCAGAACTTGTCAGGACCTGCTGAATACCCACCTCTGGTAACACGATTGTGAAGTAAATCTGGCTTCCCCGTTGGCTTTGCTTGTCAGAAGGTCCCACTAGGGGATCACATGACCCTGGAGTATTGCAACTTTATCCTGGGAAGTTGCCATAGATCAGGGGTGATAAACTCAAGGCCCGGGGGCCGGATCTGACCCGCAGGGTGCTTAGATCTGGGCCCACGGGGAAAGAGCAAAGGACTGACCCATGGTGCCTCTGCCAATGAAAATGGAGGCCATCACAGCTGAAAACAGAGCTTGCAAGGGCTGTGTGCAGCCCTCCCGGGCTCCGTTTTTGCTAGCAGAGGGTTGCAGGAGGCTGTTGCAGCCGGAAACGGCAGAGGCCTCGGGCCACCAAAGGCACCACAAGCACAAGTGATATCAAGCTGGCCACGCCCATCCCGGCCTGAGGTCAAACACAACCCTGATGTGGCCCTCAATGAAACTGAGTTTGCCACCTCTGCCCAGAGGTGGTATTCAGCCGGTTCTGACCAGTTTTGGAGAACCGGTAGTGGAAAGTTTGAGTAGTTCAGAGAACCTGCAAATCCCATCTCTGACTGGCCCCATCCCCATCTACTCTCTGCCTCCCGAGTCCCAATTGATCGGCTGGGTCTTCCTTTGTTGCCCTGCACAGGAGAACGGAGCTGGAAAGCAGGTTAGTGGGGTGGGGAGGGAATGGGGAATTTTACAGTATTCTTCCCCTGCCACGCCCACCAAACCACACCACACCCACCAAGTCACACAGAACCAGTAGTAAAAAAATTTGAATCCCACCACTGCCCCTGCCATAGACCAACACCATGTAGCCCAGCTCTGTCTACACCAGCTTTTCTCAATTGAGATTCCATGGAATTCTAGGGTTGCAAGAAATATTGTGATTAGAAAAAAGAAACCTTTAAATTTGACCCATCCTGTAATGCTAGTTGTAGATACAATACAGTAATTTAATGTAAGAGTTCCCTGACACCTTAAAATTATTTCCAGGAAAGATTAGTCCACCCTGACCCACAGCATCTGCCCAGAATTCCAGCCAGAAACTTCATCCTCATCCACTACCTGACCTTTTCTTTTATTGCAAAAAGTCACTCTCGGCCTTCTGCTCATAAAGCAACTGATTTACTATCTCCTCCTCCCTGGCCGCTTCTAATCTTTGCTCATCACCTGAAGTGCTGGTTTGCCATTTATATCAGCCTAAGACTAAACAAGCCTTGGGAGTCTTCTTGCTTCGCCAAGGAGCTGAGGCATCATCCCTCGTAAAATGAACCAGACCTGGAGGGAGGTGGAAGGAGAGAAAAACACGAGCCAGAACGCGAGGGAAATTGTGTTGAACTCCCTGCATCTCATCTCCAAAACAGTCTAGCTGCCATCTGCCAACCAAGGTCAGTGGCTGATTCCAAATGTCTCATAATTGAAAATGCATTCAAAGTTTCGCACACCAGAAGTGGAGGCCAGCTATTTCTCAGAAGGAACAGAAATGCCAACTAGGCAACATGGAGAAAAAAATTCCAAAGAAATGTGCTATGTACACTATATGCGTATGAGAGGGAACGAAAGTATATGTTCCCAACCCTCTAGAGCACTGGTCGCCAACCAGTGGGCCAGGGACCACTGGTGGTCTGCGAGAAAATTTTGGTGGTCCGCAGAAAAATGTCACCCCCAAAGTACCCCCCAAAGTGATTAATCCAGGCTGTGCGGGAACACAAGGCTGTGCCAGCCACATAGCCTGAGGGAACACAAGGCTTGCGTCACTTGCATTGCGAACAACACAAGGTAGTGAGGGGAGGGGGGAAAGGGCAGAGGGGGGGGGAACTTGCCCCTCTCACCCCATGCATTTCGCCTGGCCACCGGGATGCTTCTTTCCGCTTCTTTCTTCTTCTGATTTTGGCTGCACGCAAGGAAAGCAGCAAAAGTCTTTCTTTCTCTCCCCCAAACTCTGCCAGAAATGAGTCTTTGGGACCCTGCAAGGCCTCCTGCTCCAAGAGGCTGCACCCACATAACAAGTCTCACAAAGAGAAAGAAAGATTTCTGCTGTTTTCCCTGCATGAAGCCAAAAGTCTCTCTCTCTCCCCTCCCCCCCGAGAACGGAGCTGGAGACGGTATCCTGAGATCCCAAATAAAGAATGATCAATTAGTAGGAAAACGGGGTGGGAAATTTTCCTGCAGACTTTTTGGGGGGTTTCCCAGGGTCTCTGATCCGCAGGATTTAAAATTATGAGTTTGGTGGTCCCTGAGGTCCAAAAGATTGGCAACCCCTGCTCTAGGGGATGGTCAATGGTGATAATCCCCCCAAGGAAACCCTCTAAGTCAACTTTAAGGCATGTGGACTTCGACTCCCAGAATTCCCCTATGCTGGCTGGGGAATTGTGGGAGTTGAAGTCCACATGTCTTTAACTTGCCAAGGTTGAAAAACACTGCTCTAATAAGTGATATTCAATGAATTAATGGATCATCTTGCCTTCCAGAGTGGTGGGTCCTCTGTTGCTGGAGGCTTTCAAGAAAAGATTGGACATTTGTCCAGGATGATATAAAAAGCCTCTGGTGCTGCAGTGGTTAGAATGCATCTAAAGTCATTTCTTTATCCTATTGAAATGGGATGTATAGGAGCAACAGTGAGATATATGATTACACTAGGAGGCCTGGTGGCGCAGTGGTTAGAATGCAGCATTGCAGAGTGACTCTGCCCACAGCCTGGAGTTCGATCCTGGTGGACTCAAGGTTGACTCAGCCTTCCATCCTCCCCAGGTCAGTAAAATGAAGGCCCAGATATTTGGGGCATATACTGACTCTGTAAACCACACAGAGAGTGCTTTAACGCACTGTGGAGTAGAATATAAGTCTAAGTGCTATTGCTATTTTTATAAGATCTCCTGCCTTGGACAGAGGGTTGGATTAGAAGACCTCCAAGATCCAGCCTTGAATCCAGATTCAATTCTATTCTGTGAAATGTGGTATCCCTGATGGAATAAAGTCCCAAACGATTGTAGGACAGTTGAGAATTCTTTCAGCAAGAAAGATCCTGCTGGTGTGTGCGTAGGTATGTTTTATTCTTGCATCTCTGGTGCTTTATATAACTTCAAAATTAAATAGTAGTTGCAGGTTTAGGCTACCAGGATGCGATGGGTGGGAAGCACAATTTCACCCAGGCATCCATGCCAACAACTGTTGCCCTTTACAGAGGGAGAGAACGAAATAGGAACTCCATTATGAATGCAACAGCTCACATAAACCAGCCAGGAGAACTTTGCCAGGGAAGCCTCTGAGAATGCCAACAGTAACTCGAATTGGTTTCCAAAATAAACTTACTGGAAGGGGAAACAACTCCACACAGCAGAGAGATGGCAGCAAAAGTTAAAAACAGGGGGAGATTTTCCTCCTTCATCTTTTGTCAATGTCATTCTTAAAAGGTTGCTTTAAACAGGCCAGATTTCTCAGAAGCTTAACAAAACAGCAGGAATTTAGAGAAGCAATAGGTAGCCAACAAAACCCCACTGAACCACCAGGGAAGGGTCTTGCTTTATGCTTCCCATCTTATGGAACCTGCCAAAGTTGATCCCACACAAGATGGATTCTTGCTGCAGCTCTGCCAACCCAGGTAATGGTGTCACTTTGCTTGAGGCATCACTTGAGGCTGAAGCTTGGAAGATCAGCCCACCAAGTCCAGCTTCTGTGAGTGAAGCTTGCGAAATGCCTTTTGCTAGCAAAGGGCTTCAGGCATTTGCAATCAGTTCAAGAAGGTCTCTAGAAAGAGTATAGAGAAGATGATTAGGGGACGGGAGGCTAAAAAAATTTACAAAGAATGGTTGCAGGAATGAGGCATGTCCAGTTCAATGAAAAGAAGGGATGACATGATAGCAGTGTTCCAATATCTCAGGGGCTGCCACAAAGAAGAGGGAGTTGTGGTTAGCCGGCAGCAGGTGCAGACGGTTGAGGAGAGCAAGGACTCAGATGAGGGGCCAGGACCATTAGGGAGTGGACTGCTTCCTTCAGAGATTGTGGGGGCTGGCAGCAGCAATGAGGAGGTTCCCGAGGAGCCTGTGCCAAGTGCGCGTGCATGCAGGATTGCTTGCAAGAAAGAGCAGCTACAACTGCACGGGCGACTCGGGAGTAAGTCTTCAAGGTAATGGCCCCTCCTTCAAGAAGATAAAAGCCAGCTGTGAAGCAAACGTTCTTTGCAGGAAGCAAAGACGTTTTGAAACTCAGCCTCGTGGACATTACACTATCTTAAGTTGGTATTTGAAGACTCTTGTGTTGTGAAATATTTCTTATCTGTGATTCTTGACAGTCTCGTACAGTTTTGGCAAGGTTTGTGCTTATCAAAGTTAATTAGTTTGCAGCAGCCTTTTAACCAGGGATTTGTAAGACTCATTAAAAGGTTTCTGTTCCCTTTGATTATTATTTGTCTTATTGGAAAAGGGTTTGGGTCAGAACAGGAGTCAAGCTAGTCTCCAAAGCACCCGAGGGCAGAACGAGAAGTAATGGATGGGAACTAATCAAGGAGAGAAGCAATCTGGAACCAAGGAGAAATTTCCCAACAGCAAGAACAATTAATAGAAATAGCACTTAGACTTATACACCGCTTTACAGTGCTTTACAGCCCTCTCTAAGCAGTTTACAGAGTCAGCATCTTGCCCCCAACAATCTGGGTCCTCATTTTACCCACCTTGGAAGGATGGAAGGCTGAGTCAACCTTTAGTCTGCTGAGATCCGAACTGCCAAATTGCAGGCAGCTGGCAATCAGCAGAAGTAGCCTGCAGTACTGCATTCTAACTACTGAGCCACCACAGCTCATAACCAATGGAATGACCTGCCTCCAGAAACTGTGGATGCTCCAACACTGGAGATTTTAAAGCAGAAATTGGACAACCATTTTTCTGAAAGGGTGCTTGAGCAGAGGGTTGGATTAGAAGACCTCCAAGGTCCCTTCCACCTTTGTTATTCTGTTATTCTTCTATTCACAAGGGGAGCCCCAAGAGTACAGGGAAATGCAAATCACCGAACAATATTTTAACTAATAGCTGTATCTACATGTCACATTCAGCAGAAGCCATTTTGGAAAGGACAGCCGTTCCAAGAATTTCATAAGCGCCTGCGAAGCTTAAGGCATCAAGGTTGCCTCTTCAAAGGATGTGCCCTGTTTTCTTGAAGGGAAAGAAAAACAGACTTGGTAATGGAATTTCCAAGAAAGTGAACTAAAGTTTTCACGGACCTCCATGATTGGCTAAGTCCCTTTAGGTCTCCTCCAAGCTAAAATTTGGAGAAAGTATAAAAACCAGCTTATGTTTAAAAGAACCAAATAAACTGGATGCTCCTTTCAGGGCATGAAATGACACAACGTGGACAGCTACAAATGTTTGCTCTATTTTAAATTGGAAATGCCTCTCTGGTATCTGTGCCAGGTTTTTTTTAAGTTCGGCCTCTTTAGACCAGGGGAAAGGCCTTTGAAAGGAATTCATTGCCCATTCGTAATGTTTGTTGATGGGGAAGATGGTAATAAGAAAATGAGAAATCCCAAAAAAAAAGTCACTGTTTGCTCTTCCTTAGACGTAGCCAAGGAAAGTTTCTCAGAATGGAAAAAAAGGCCTCACCATTCCCATCACCATCATGAAAGGGGAAGAGAAACAAAGTCAAAGGAAAAGCAAACAAAAGACATAGCTCTGATTGTTCATCATCATGAATTCAGCGCAATGAGGATCTAAATGCCATTCCCTTCACCGGCACAATGTTTGACTTCACACATCCGATCAAGCCATGCAAGCCACAATTGCCTTATTCACACAACATGCTAAGCCAAAACTTTAACCACCCCATTATGTTTGAGTGTGATAGATGAACCACATCAAATGCAGGCCTACAATAGAACAGAGGGTTTGGTAGGCAGAAGATCTGACTCCGGTCCCTGACATTTCTTTGTAAGGCTGAGAAAACCCACTACTTAAAACTATTCTGTTGGTTAAATTTAAGAGCGTTTAGACAAGAGAAGACAAGCATTTCCGTCTGGAGCTGAGGGACCATCCAGATCATCAAAAGAACCATCGTGCCAAGATAATTTTTTGCCCAGTGATGATGTGTGGTTTCCACCAGATTTCTTCTTCCGCCAAAGTAAAATGTTGTAACCTAGTAACTGCAAGAGGGATCTTGGAGTCGCAGTGGACAATCACTTAAAATATGAGCCAGCAGTGTGCTGCAGCTGCCAAAAAGCCAGCATAGTCCTAGACTGCATAAACAGAGGGGTAACATCAAGATCATGTTAAGTGTTAATACCATTTTATAATGCCTTGGTAAGACTACATTTGGAATAACGCATCAAGTTTGGTTTGCCATGATATAAAAAAAGATGTTGAGAATCTGGGAAAGAGTGTAGAGAAGAGCAATAAAGATGATTAGAGGATTGGAGCTAAAACATACGAAGAATGGTTGCTGGAATCAGGTATATCTAGTTTAGTGAAAAGAAGAACTAGTGGTGACAGGGAGCAGTCTTCCAATATCTCAGGGGATGCCACAAAGAAGAGAGGGTCAACTTACTCTCCAAAGCATGTAAAGGCCAGACAAAGCATGGACAAGCAATGGGTGGAAACTCATCAAGGAGAGAAGCAACCTAAAACTAAGCAGAAATTTCCTGACAGTGAGAACAATTAATCGGTGGAACAATTTGCTTCCAAAAGTTGTGAATGCTCCAACACTAGAAGTTTTTAATTATTGGACAATCATTTGTTTGAAATGATATGGGGTTTCCTGCCTGAGCAGGGGGTTGGACTAGAAGATCTCCAAGGTCCCTTCCTGCCCTGTTAATCTGTTAATGTCTTTTAAAATTTAAAAAAGGGGCCTGCCTTAACCCCAAACAACAGCATCTAGCTGCAGCATTTCTAAAGCTCCCCAAGAGGTAAAGGTAATTAAAAATAGTAAAAAAAACATGATAAAAGTTTTTCACTAAAATATTTTATATGTTTATTTTTTATCTCCTACCTAGAGGTGTGGCTTACTTTGAAAGAAAAAACAAAACAAAATATGGCTCTCTGCGTATTTGGTGTTGCTTAACAAGTGACTCAAAAAAGCAAGCCACAGAACACATAAAATAAGCAGAAAAAGGAAGAAAGTTAATCAACATTACAACTGCACAAGTTTTCCGTCTCCCAAATCAAAGTAATTTTAAAACCTTGCATTGAGCTGGAATTAAATGATACAGAACAGCTTGCCCGTCAGCAGAATATGAATAAAACAGCTACTTCTCATGACTTGGCACAAAAAAATAAAATAAAATAAAAAATAGTGATTTGCAGGCCCAAACAAATTAGGCCAAATTTGCATCTGTTTGCTTGTTTCAACTAATGAAAGCAGGGTTCCAGGAAAGACGATTTGCAATCTAACCTTTCATTTTTTTCTTTCTTTCCAGAAATCTCATTCTAATTCCAAGACTGGTACACGTGAGCCAGGAAAAGATCATAAACAAGTAGTGCTAGACAGACACCGGGTCTACCATCAAGCATTACAACCCCCCTAATCTTTTTTTTTAAAAAATCCTGATCAGATCTGGCCAGATCCTTTACCACTGATGAATAAGCAGTTCACAATAGTCCATCAGT